TGGGGTGGGTGGGGGGGGTGTGGAGGGGGGGGGGGGGGGGGGGGGGGGGGGGGGGATCAACTGGATTAGTAATCCAATCACAAGTGGTCAGGTTGATTAGGGGTGTGCAATATTACAATTCTGGATAATAGGATAAGCTGATTATTATTTTCATTTTATAGCTGATAACTGTTACATAAACAATATTAAAATTGTATATCTTTTGTCTTATAAAACTACAAATAACACTAGCATTTAAAATCAATCAATTTATATATAATATTACACTGAAGATTACATTCTTTGTATTTTTAAAGATTAATTTTTGAATTAAATATTTTTATAAATATTTTTTATATTTAATAATAAATATTTTTATTCAGCTAAGATGCATTAAATTGATAAAAAATGACAGTAAAAACTTTAACATTGTTACTAAAAATAACTGTTTTTATATCAATTCTGTTCTGTTGAACTTTATATTCCAAAAATCGTAAAAAGTAAATAATTTCCCAAAAAATTATATATATATTTTCAACATTGATAATAATAATAATTTTTTCTTCAGCATCAAATTTCTGTAGGATCATGTGACACTGAAAACTGGAGTATGAAGCTGAAAATTCAGCTGTACCATCACAGAAGAAAAAAATGATATGATAATGATAATTATATCATAATTATATAGATTGAAACGGTTACTTTGAATATTTCACAATAATACTGTTTTTAAAAAAATCTTACCAAACACAAACTTTTGAACAGCAGTGTATCAACCAATAATACTAATAATTTTAATGAAATTATCACAGTTATTAAGGGTGGGAGATATGACCAAAACCTTATATTACGACATATATCACAATATAGTTATTTTTGCTTTAAATAAGGTCTCTATGAAATCAAAATTTTTGATACCAAAGAAATTTCATAATTCTTGTCACCAGCATCAATATCACAAAAAAAAAAAAAAAAACTCAATTGCAGTTTAGACAAGTAAACAGTCAGGGATTAAATAGGAATAAGAAACTAATTACAAGCAACAGGACAAAAAACTACAGTAGAAAAAATAAATAAGAACTGCTACATGCATTGTATGAAGTAATCAAATGTACAAAAACACTGCATATTCTTCACTGTGTAAATTAAATATTTCTTCTTATTAAAGTTACAAAAGTGATTTAGCCCGGATCCAATATACTGTTTACACATGTGTTATGCTTAAAATGCATCCAAACGAGACGAGTCAAAAATCTCTATTAGTTGACAAATCTCTACTGGTTAATCGTGTCTACCAATATATCACCCACCCATAATAGTTATAAATGTCAAAATGAACACAGTTGTATCATGAATGATTATTAAATATTGATGCAATAGTGTCACACCTTTCACATTAGAAACCAGTTTGCCTCCCGTCTTCCCAAAAAGTGCAAGTTCACTGGTGATGGCCTCCAACATCTTGACGAAGTTTGGCAGGAAAAGGATGACCTCCACTTCATGGTTGGCCAAGTGTCGGCCACAGCTGATGCCCTGAGCGCCCTGGACATGTGGTCCACACAGCAGGGCCACCGTGGGCCGCTGATGTACATTCTTTGGGGTAAGTCTACGAGAAGAACCAGACCAATGACAACAAGACGTGCTAAAGGTATTTTTGATTATGCAATTTCTAGGGATGCACCGATATGAAAATTTTGGCCGATACCGATAACCGATTATTCTTTATTTTTGAAAGCCGATAACCGATATGTTGGCCGATAAATCTATATCCAAATTGTTATATACTTTTTGAGAGCCTGATTACAAAAAAGGTGCTGGTATACTGTGATATATTTTTAATGAACTCTTCTGAAGAGCTCGAATGCGTGGAAGGCTTCTTCTATTATGATTCACTGAGCGAGTATGAGTTTTGAATGTTTACTGCCACTTACTGGATTACCGCGGAAGTACATTGAGTTGCAGGCAGAGGTGTCAAATTAAAAATCTTAAATTAAGCAATTATTAATATTAATGCATATTTTTATATTTTCATTAATATTTTTGTATAATGTGTAATTATGAAATGTTTTATTATTTTATAATTTTATATAATTACAATATTATTAATTGCAATCGATATCTGCAATATTGTATCGATTTAATATTCATTTATTATTAAATAATATTTATTATAATTTATTTATTGTTTTAATAATAACATTTATAATGTACAAGTAAATAATAGTATTATTAAATTATCCAATATTCACTACCAGGAGCTTTTGTTTAAATTTTTTAATGGAAATACACTTTTAATCTGCATATATATATGTGTGATCCTGGAGCACAAAACCAGTCATAAGTAGCCCGGGTATATTTGTAGCAATAGCCAACTATACATTGGAAAATTATACATTTTTCAATTAATCACATTCAAAATAAAATTTTTGTTTATATAATATATGTGTACTGTGTATATTTATTATGTATATATAAATACACACACATGCATGTATATATTTAAGAAAAACATGTTATGTTTATATATTAAATCTATTAATAAATTATATAAATTATATGAATATACATATGTAAATCGTGATTAATTGTTTTGTTGTGTGTGTGTGTGTGTGTGTAAATCTCAATTTTAAAAAATTGACCCTTATGACTGGTTTTGTTGTCCAGGGTCACATATGAGTGTTAATTATAACATAAAGCCAACATCAAATTCTACAAGAGCATTGTAACACAATAAACACACTGGGGGTGGGGATTGGTGCAGGGGTGTTCTCATATTCTCAGACACATGCATGTATATATTTAAGAAAAACATGTTATGTTTATATATTAAATCTATTAATAAATTATATAAATTATATGAATATACATATGTAAATCGCGATTAATTGTTTTGTTGTGTGTGTGTGTGTGTGTATGTGTAAATCTAAATTTTAAAAAATTGACCCTTATGACTGGTTTTGTTGTCCAGGGTATATATGTATATTAGTGCTGTCAAATGATTAATTACAATTAATCACATTCAAAATAAATTTTTTGTTTATATAATATATGTGTACTGTGTATATTTATTATGTATATATAAATACACACACATGCATGTATATATTTAAGAAAAACATGTTATGTTTATATATTAAATCTATTAATAAATTATATAAATTATATGAATATACATATGTAAATCGCGATTAATTGTTTTGTTGTGTGTGTGTGTGTGTGTATGTGTAAATCTAAATTTTAAAAAATTGACCCTTATGACTGGTTTTGTTGTCCAGGGTCACATATGAGTGTTAATTATAACATAAAGCCAACATCAAATTCTACAAGAGCATTGTAACACAATAAACACACTGGGGGTGGGGATTGGTGCAGGGGTGTTCTCATATTCTCAGATAGGCCTTTGAATCAGAAACCAACCATCTTTTCGTCAGTTATGTGTGACATTATGAGAAGTTAGTGTTATCTGTTAAGGTCAAAGGCACAAGAGGAACCTGCACATGTCTGGTAGAAACAAATCATGCAACGCCCATTCACCGTGACATTTCCCACAAGCTCCAGCAGAACCTGAGATGCCTTCTGGGCTGTCTGAGCCTAGACAACCAGCACCAGCACAGTGTTTGTTTGAACAAAGGTGAAGCTGGACTTGACACAGCCGGCCCCTCGAGCCAGAGATTTGATTTGAAGTGATATTGCAGTGTGCTTTATTGTGGTGCCAGAAAAATTATTTTTATATTACATTTCAAAACGATTTATCCTCTTCATGTGACTCATTATTTGACCTGAAATAGTCATTATCAATAATTATTTAAAATGAAATGTTAATTATTAATATTTTTAAGTTATAATTATAATTTAATATGAAATATATAAAAATACATAATATGTGATATACAGTATATGATCTATTTATCCTCATGTGACACATATCTAATATATTTGTCATTATAGAACGATTAAAAAAATGCATGGGTTGTTTTATGTAAAAAAAATAATTACGTATCTAGGCAATCTAGCATTAAAAACGTTATGTTTAAAAATGTTGAAAATCATTCATGCGTTATTCATTATTAGGCTCATTATTATTTATTTGTTCATATCAAATCTAAAATAAAATTAATCATTATTAAAAATTAATCACGCCAGTTTTTCTGGAGAGCCAATCAACGCTTACAAAATCTCCGTGATCCCGCCTCCCGAATTACGCCTCTCTCACGTGATCACATGACAACATCACAACAAAAATGTCTGCCTGCTTTTCGGTGCGGTAATTTTTTTGATCGTTTCACAAATATAGCATTTGATTTGCGTCAAAGCTTCTGCATCTGATGAAGACTTTCTTAAAATAAAACCAAGCAAGACGCAAACTAGTCAGTGAATATACAATATACGTAAGTTAAGCGACTAGGCTATAGTTGTATCTAACAGTTCGTTGTTGATTTGAATTATTATTAACGCTTCTTGTGTTTTATAAAAAGCCTCATCATGGAGCCCACAGCATCGGGAATATTCTGTAACAGGATGCTCAGTATGGTGAACTCTGAAGACGTGAACGCCATCATTCAAGCTCAGAGACACATGTGGGTTTCCCTATCTAGTGACCTGCCTAGGCAGCATAACGTTATTTATTATGCGTTCAAGCTGATTTTGCTGCATGTATTCATGTATTCCAGGCTGGACCGCTTTGAGAAGACCAATGAGATGCTGATCAACTTCAACGGACTGTCCAATGTGCGCTTACAACAGATGAATGAACACTTTCTAACGCACACCCGCACTTTAATAGAGATGAAGAAAGACTTGGACAGCATTTTCAGACGAATAAGGTATTATATTCACAACTTAAGACATTCATTATGATGAGGTGGTCCCTCCATTACAAGCGTGTGTATGATAAAATGAACACATTCCAGCTGGTTTGTCATGCAAGTTTGAAAATGCAAACAATGTCACAAAATGTTATTTTTATATTTTTCATACTAAAGTAATTATTATATTAAATAATATATATTATCAAGCCTAATAATACAATATATTGTGTAAAATTAGTTATTTCCTATGCATAAGATCATTTGTGTTTCCACAGGACTTTAAAAGGCAAGGTTGCGAAACAATATCCAGAGGCCTTCTGCAGTAAGTTATAATGCTGTATTTTGTATTAGCATGCACTACGATTAAGCTACTTTTAGCAAAAATGAAAATCAGTAGTTTTTGTACACGTCATTTTGTGACATCTAGGAAAGACTAATCACAAAATTGGTAAATCTTAATTAAAAAAATAATAATCGAGCATTATCCTCTTTGTAGTTTCTGCTAAATGATTATACAAATAACCTAAAAACAAAAAATGAGCATCCACAATTTCAAATTCCAATATTTACCAATATAAAACAAACACTAATATACTACAGTTCAAAAGTTTGGGGGTCAGTAAGATTTTTATAAATTAAAGCTTCGTTAATACTTATTCAGCAAGGATGCATTAAAAAGTGACAATGAGGACATTAATAATGTTACAGAAGATTTCGACTTCAAATAAATGCTGTTCTTTTGAACTTTCTATTCATCAAAGACTCCTGGAAAATGTATCACAGTTTCCACAAAAATATTAAGCAGCACAACTGTTTTCAACATTGATATTAATAAGAAATATTTGTTAAGCAGCCAATCAGCATTCTAGAATGATCATGTGACACTTCTGAATGGTCGGGTTTAACATAAATTATAGTGTCTTCCTTTGTAACAGACATCAATGAATGTTCCAGCCTGGAGGAGGATGATGATGATAATGACTTTGACCCCATTCCTCCCAGCGTGGCCACCACCATCACTACCACTGCAACATCTGAACAGAGCACGGAGTCATGTGACACAAGCCCTGATGTGATATCGCCCACCATTAGCTGCTGTTCTGAAGACCCCTCTCAAGAGAACACCGGCACACCGACCTCTGACAGCCATGAACAGCCAGTGTTACGGGACGAGGGGCCGGATTCAGCTGACATTTAGATTCATGTGTATAATATTGTATTTACTACATACAGATGCCACTTAACAGTGGGGCGATGCAAGCTTACAGCTTAAGGTTTACTATGCGAAAACGGTTTTAATGCTACTGTTGTTATGTTATTTTAATTTAGAAAAATAATGCAAACTAGCTTACTTTTTGCAGATTAAAAGAAACGTTTTAAAGATACATTTAAAAACAGACATGTTTACCTTGTGTTGTGGCATTTTCATGTTCAAAACCACATTATTTAGTATTATTTCTAGATTCAGAAAAGTATGTCATCAAATAAAAGCTTTCGCACAGTGCACAATGCGAGTCTTTTAATTAAACTCTGTTTGCTTGGATTTGGATTATTTTGTGCTCTAAACTTTCACGATTTCTAAAACGTAAAGAAATGGCAGAAATAGTACTAGTCGTAGTAAGCTAGTAGCTTTTAATTTGCCCCATATTTTTGTTGACTACATATCCCACAATCCACCAGACCGGAAGCGTGCGACTCTACACATCGGCGTCCCTCTCTTCCGAGTCCTCTACATTTCTGTCCGTTATTTCCTTCATTAAACGTTCATTGCAAACGGAGAGTATACATTTAAAAATTGCAGAAACTACAATGTGCCGTTTAAAATAGCATTTCAAGGTAGGTAGAAAACGAAGTAAGTAAAATGGCAAGCCAGACAAGTGCACGGCTAGCAGTGGCTAACAGTAACCATAGACAACTGAGATACCTGAGCCTTCACAGACAAACTTAAAAAATACTCTTTAAAAGCTGTTTAAAATCAAAGTTGGTCTACGTCCTAACTTATATGAGGTTAAACCTTTCGCATATTTAGCCCTGGGCTAATAACAGAGAGTTGAACTAAATGTATATTAATGTGCAACTCATCTTGATATACCAATTGACAAACAAATGATGAATCGCAGCCTAAATTCCTGAGGAAGATAACAGCCACCTGCTGTGACGATGAGGAGGCTGAACAAAAAGAAAGCCCTGAACTTTGTGAAGGAGTTGGATGCTTTCCCCAAGGTTCCTGAGAGTTATGTGGAGACAACAGCCAGTGGAGGAACGGGTGAGATGAGCAGAGATTTAATAGATAGATTTTTCATATTTTCCACATATTTTAGTTAAAGTTTTAGTAACTTTGTTGTGTTTTTGTCATTTTTATATGTATAGTTTAAAAAAAATGTAACCTGTTTTAGTTATTTTAGTACATCATTTTTAGTGGAAACGAACTAAAAAAATGTTTTCGGATATGCATTTTAATTTATTTCAGTCAGTGTTATTTTATGAATATATTTATATACACATACAGTCAAACCAAAATTTATTCAGACACCTTCAACATTTCTCACATTATCACAGTTTATTCGCTATAGTTTAGAAAATGGTGATAAAATATGACAAGAACTCAGAGTTAAACAGTGTCAGAACAAATTCATCTTGATAATGTCAGATAACTTTGATAGAAAGGTATGTAATTAGGTTGAATAGCTGTCAGCTGTTAAATTTAAGTACACAATTAGATAATACCAATTTAGGTCAACCAATTACCAAGCAATGCTTAATTTTGTTCAGTCTGTGGTGTAAAAAGGTCGCATTAGCAATTAAAGAATAAAAACACTTAAGCAAAACATGGTCAGGTCAAAGTGTCTGAATAATTTTTTTTATCCCAAATTTTTATAACTTTTACTGGTAGTCCACTTTATGAAGAATTTTTGGCTATAATATGTCACCGTTTACTTTATTTTGCTATCCTCACTTACATAAATGAACTATAGTGTCCTGGCTGCACCCACTAGTAAAAAAATAAAATAAAAAATGATATCTGGTGTCTGCATAATTTTTGGTTTGACTGTACATATCCTATCTATAGATAATACTTAACATTTTCCTTTCTGTGTCTCCTCAAATATTACAGCTGTGATACTGAATTAAAAAACTAAATCAAATTATAACCCAAATTATTTCTTCCCTCAGTGTCTGTGTTGGCCTTCACTGCCATGGCACTCTTAGCCTTCTTTGAGTTCTTTGTGTATCGAGACACATGGATGAAGTACGAGTATGAAGTGGATAAGGATTTTACTAGGTGACTCTTTACTGCTATCATAATGTAACCGTAAATTGTATTTTTGTGTTATATATATAACATGATTTGATGTACTAACATTTTGTTTTTATTTTCATCTTGTAGCAAACTACGAATTAATATTGATATCACAGTTGCCATGAGGTGCCAATGTAAGTATATCTTACTATAGTAATATGTTGTATGACTTAAAGCATAAAATCATCAAATAATCTTGTGTATTTCTTTATTTTCAGTTGTTGGAGCAGATGTGTTGGATCTAGCCGAGACGATGGTGGCATCTGATGGCCTGCAGTATGAACCTGTGAGTAACTGAATGTTACTTATTTGCTAATAACTTGCTAAAGTGGTGTCATAACATGTTTTAAAACTCTTTGGCAGGTTGTTTTTGAACTTTCTCCTCAGCAGAGGCTCTGGCACAGGTAAATTACATTTCATTTTCAACCTTCAA